ACATACATACATACATACATACATACATACATACATACATACATACATACATACATATACTTTATTTAACCTCGAATTTACAGAGTAGCTTGTCAGCTAATATCTTCGAGAGAAATAAATATTAGAAAGAAATAGTAAATAGATAAAATAAAATAAAATAAAATGAAATACAATTATAATTCTATATCATTTATATCATTTATACACTTCTTTCCTTTATTCATCATTGGAGCATCATATTCTTATGTTTTTGCCATCTCCTGGAAACATTGGAAATCTTCAAACCGCAGGACGTTACCAGAGTCTCCATCTCTTGCTCAAGGAGACATTGCCAGCAAACGCTTTACCTTGACTCGGGAAATCAGAGCTGCTAAAACATTGGCCATTGTTATCAGCGCTTTGATGTGCTGTCGGCTTCCATTCTTTGTTATTCTGATGGATTTATTTTGGTGTTCCACTTGTTTCACTTGAATAACACCATTCGTAAACATAACATTTATTCACATTCTTCCTAACATTAGCGGTGCCCTTAATCCTTTTATTTTCTTTATCTTTAGTCGCCGGCTGCGGAAAGCTTTCTGTAAATTTTGCGCTCATGCGAAGAAGAGAATAGTGTGTTTAACTGAGGCTTTCTGTCAATAGGGTGGGTTTTCATACGCGCGGAAGTGCGGGACACTCAAAGTGGATTCAGGTGTATTCCGGTAAGAATTTGCAGTGTTCTGGGGTGAAGGAAACAGTTACATCACTTTTTATGGGTTCAAGTGACATCCCTTTCAAATTTGAGGCAAAAAGTGGCCTTAAAGTTAGAGGAAGGGTAATATGTCTACGATAGGACGTTAGTAATGTGTGAGTGAATTTGAGAGTGATTGCTATACTCTTTTATCATTATTATTATTATTATTACTATTATTATTATTATCGCGATCAATAACGGTCTTCACAAAACTGATTGATGGTCAAATGTTACGTTGTTCAGTCGCTTTAATGAAGAAACCGCTCTTCAAACCTTCGCCAATAATTTAACAGAACCAAGGGTACTGACTGGCAAACAGCCATTATAGCAAATTTTGACAAAAACGTACGTTTCTCAGTTTTATTTCTCGTTGCTTTTCCAGCCACAGTTAGGCGTCCTCAGTTATGTGAACTGAGCAGACCGATACAACTATCCGGAATCCTTCACTTTGCTTTTTAAATTCCTCTGGGGTTTGAAGGAAATACATTCTGGCAGTTGTGCAGCCAAATTATGACATCGTGAAAGTCAGTGGTTTATTGGGGTATACAATAATTAAATCACTTTTAGTGAAGAGATTTTAGTGAAGAGACTCAGATACATCATCACTCTCATTGGTTAAACTGTTGATTACACAGCTCTTTCAAACTTCATTGGAAAACCACTGCTACTGATTCGCGGCACATCACTATGATCCCATACTAACTACCATGAAAAAGATATATATTACAAGAGCTCAGCAAAGACGAACTGTGTAAACAATGTGCCATTTATAACAATGGACAATACCGTGTTTTGGTTTATATATTTTACAGTTTCTGAGCTTGAAACAGTATTGAAAGGTATTCAGGCAAAGATCTGCTTTCGTAAGAATAGCATGGTCAAATAAAGTCTCTTGAGTCTGAAAAATACAACCAAAGTCCATTTGTGTTGCCAGACTGAGTCGACCAAACGCTATGTACATGTTAGTGTTGAAGGTTGTTCCCTTCAAATGAAATACATCATAATGAACGTCACCAAACTGACACCCAGGCTACCCCACCCAATGCTGATCGCGTGACCAGCATCCCAGAGTGAAAAAGCAGTTGTGTCTTCATGGTGAGACATTGAATTACATCCACTCCACTGACAGCAAGTGAAACAGCGCTTCTCGTGAGCTGCGGGGGGGAAATGAAAACAAGGAAGCTTAGGATTTGAATAGAATAGAAAACACACTAGAAAGGTATTCAAAAGTTCTATAACTAGTAGTAATCGTAGATTAACGAGTGCGTTCGAGTATTGGTGGGTTTGGTATGTTATAAAAGCAAAAATTCTAGAAATAGCATTTTGTGCCTGAGCTGTTAGGTAGGCCTGAATTTGGCCTCCCTCCAGCAGGAGCGAAAACAAATGAATTGATC